CTTGTTTGCCGCAGCATTTACAGTTGGCAACAATTGCAGCAATGCCATAAATCGTTGGACAAGCATTCGAAGCAGCGATTCGATCCCCCCCCCCTTTATATCCCCATCGCCAGAAGTTCCGCTCGTGGCTCTGCGTAACAATAAATTTTCAATGCAAACAAGTTGGCAAAAGAGTATTGGTATTGGTCTTAGTCTTGGTCTTGGTTTACCATCCTGGCCGAACCAACGAAAAAGCAAGCCAAGTCCGGCAGCGGCCGCCACAGCATTTGTTATTTGAATTTCGAAAATTATGGCCACAAATTTGTTTTATTGCCAAAGTCAAGGCGTGCAATCATTAAATGCAACAGCATGCGGTCCCGATTCTCGCAGTCTCAATGTCTCCAATGGTTCCCCATTCTCCTCCTCTCCGATTCTCTGATTCTGCATTTCCCTGCCTCAGTCTTTATCTCTATGGTATATATATAGATTGGCACCTGGCGGTAGAGACTCCCAAAGTCCCCGGCTCAACTTGAGTTATGCATTGCACTAAAAGCGTTTCAACTAACTTAAATATGAGCACATCATTAGCCTAAAATTGTTAGTTTGCCGACTTGGTCATGGCCTACAGACGCCTTGCCCCGCGGATTCTCTTCCAAGCTGGGCGTGCACTGGAAAAATCAATGTATAGTAAAAGAAACTTTATTTTTCAGCATTCAAAATATATGTTCCATTTGTGGGAATAAATTAAAAATAGTTACACTAGTATGCAATAATTAAAAACGGCAAGTAAAAAAAATGGCTAAATCAATAAAGAAGTCTACAAGTTCTTAAAAAGTAAGTATCAGAATATTTGTATTACTTTATGTAGATTTTTAGTATTTAATGAAATTATAATTAAACAAAATGGTCATACAAAAATGTAAAAATTTACATAAAATAAAATATTTTTTTTTAATGAATTTTAATTAATTTTTGTAAAATGTATTTATTTATCTTTATTCACATTCTGGATCCCTATTATCTAATGTCCCGCAGTTTGATTTTATATCTCTGCTTTCTCGCAGTGTAGTTAGCCACAGTTTCAAACAGTTTGAGTGCTGCAGCTGTGCTGTGCGCCGTGTGTTGTGTGTGCATCATAATGTCTGATTAACACGTGCGCAAATTATAAGATTTTATGCATTAGCCACAGATATCAGAGCCCGAGATAAAAGCAAAAATGCCCGGCTTGCCGCACTCTCATCATGGTGCGGATGATTCTTGATACTCGATTCTGGAGTCCGAAGTCTGAAGTTTATAGTCTAAAGTCTGAATTTGGATTCTAGATTCTGTTGTTTTGGAGTCGTCTCAAGTCTGGACTCGGGATCCATGGCATTATGGAATAATGTTTTATGCATGTGCTGCACGCACGCTCAACCTGGACATCATCAAATTCATACTCATCTCATCGCTTAGTTTTCAAGCACTTTATTAGGAAAACTGCTTACACCGCCTCATATGTTTTTCTTTTTGGTCTGTGCTCCTCCGCAAGTCATGTGTTTTTCAAATTGGAACGCTCTTGATTATTCCTTTGGAGCCAGCCTCCTCTAAAAGGGGCGTGGCACGAGTGGTCCACATTTTCTGACTTTTTGCCATATAGAAATTATGTAAAATCGTTTGGTCATAATGTCCAGGCTAGATTATACATAAAAGAGTAGGAGGTGCAGCTAAATTGTACTTAAAAAGTGGGTGAAGTGTTTGGATGATTATAAGAAACAGTTCTTAACGGAACACACCCAATCGTGCATTATTTAACAGAAGAACAACAAATGGTGTTAAATTATTCAAGCTGTCTAAAACGAAAACATATCAAGGATTTTGATACATTTTAGTGAACAAAAAGCTTTCGATTCCTTTTGTGCTCCTGAAAAACAAATGAAAGTTATTCTGAACGTAGTAAAGAACAAATTATTAAAAATACTGCAGTAAAATAAAACTAAAAAGATTTAATTAAAAAAAAATAAATGACTAATAGTGCATAAATATGCTAATAAAACCCATAGTTAAGTCCGCATTCAACTAGATTTATTAATGGGAAAACTTTTTTTCCCGCTCCAGGTGATCCGAATTCTTCAAACTGAAAAGCCATCAGATAAAACCAACGAACGGCCCACACAGCAAATCATTTCGCTACTCCAGAGCCGCAAAATAGAGACTACGCATCGGTTTTAGTAATCGAATTTTATGACAATTCCATTAAACGGTCATTTACAAGAAGGCAACAACTGTTCGACAGATATAAGCCAACAATCTGCGGAGCTTAGCCCACTCGCCGACCGATCCACGCCCACACCCTCGGGCAAGTCGAATAGAAACCACGATGGGCTGAGCTTTTCGTTTATTTTTGTTCGGATTCTTGTTATTTTTACGAAGGGGGCGAGAAGAACTGTTTTTCCAGCCTATAACACGCACAAATCTTGCATATATTTACACACAAACGGGGGGGGGGCTAATTTTAATTTCTGCTACCTGCTCGACTTTCGAGATCTTAAATCGCCCATTCTATGCAGAGAAAAAAATGTATGTATTGTATGTACAATATACAGATAAAAATAAAGAATTTAATTAATCAATTATTCAAAGCATAGTCATAAAATAAACAAGACGAAACGCTATAGTCGAGTGCCATCGTCGGCCATAAGATACCTTTTACTCAGCAAACCGATTTAAAAATTATAAACATGCCCAGAGAAAATAATAATTTAAGTCCAAGAAATCTAGCTTTTATATTTAACGAGATCTCGGCTATTGATCCCGATCAAGAATATATCGGAAACACTTCCTTATAATTGTTGCATACTTTTCCATGAATACAACATATCCTTTTACAATACGATTAATAGGTTTACAAATTGATACTTATTAATAGTACAAATTTACTGTTTGGGGAACCTTTAAATGATTTACAAATATGATTAACAACATACAAACCATTCTTGTTGTATAACAAAACTATATATTTTCCAAGAATATATTTTTATCGAATCACAAAGTGTATGACGCATTATTTTATAATTTGGCAGCCGAGACTAATATTCATAATTAACATATTTAGTGGCTTTATTTTCCACCGTGTGTCAAAACTATTCCATCCGCTGCCAGACGTAATTACTTCCTACCCATCCGCCATCCGCCATTCGCCATCCTGGTTCGCATCTCCATTTTGCAATGGAGGGCAGTAGAGGCAAACTGCATCGGGTTTTTGGTCGTCTCTCTCTAAAGATTTTCAATTACAACCGATCAGAGAAAAGGGGATTGTGGCGGGTTAGAAAATATGGTGCGCGTGTTTGGTGGCGTTGCGTGTCTCTTGGCATGTGTCCACGCGAAATTGATATCGAACATAATTTTTTGTTTTTCTTTTAAACATATCTTTTTGTACCCCGCAGCGGCAATAGCGTAGGGCATATAGTTATCGTGGGAATAGCAATTAAAGGATTTTTAAAAATAAATGTATAAAACATAAGACATAATACAAAAAAAAATGTATATCATTGTACAAATATATTAGAGTCCAAAAAAGTAATTTTTTAATTACAAGCCCCTTCAAAATATCTAAATTTCATATAAAGAACTCAAACTTAAATTTTTATATTTAAAAAATATCTAATTAAATTCTTAGAGATATGTATTTTACAAAGTTTTAGATATGATTTCAAGACATATGTACAATATGTAGACCTTTAAATATTTTTTAAATAAACAAACTATGTTGAATTTATAAAGGAAACTAAATTCTTTTCTAAATTAATAGGTATCTACGTAGTGCAAATATTATAAATCCAGCATCCCCCTTCTATTTTTATTTGCCGTTCCTCTAAGCATATATACTTTACCCCCACTCTTCTGGGGGGTTTGTGTGTAAAGAGGAAATGGCTGAAAAATGCTAACAAGATTTGCACGATCCGCCTGCCAACCCCATGGCTTGGGATCTTGGCATTGGCAGTGGCCAGGGTTCCAGCTCCCAGCTCTTTTGCTGTCTGCATGATGACAATGACAAGGCTGCAAGGTTACAAGTTTTTCCAGATCGAGAAGAAATAAAAGGGGGAAAATGGAAGGGGGGGCGTGCAGGCAAAGCGGGGAGACAGGACAGAGTTTTTCCCGGAGTTTCCATCCAAACACTAAACAGCTCGTAAACACTTTGGCTTTATCGCCCAACTTGCTGTGGTGTGGTGTCTCCCCATATTTCCCCCTATTTTTCACAATTCCTCACCAGTGTTTTCCCCCTTTTTTCCGATTTTCCGCTGTCTGATAACATGACGCTGACAATTGCAATTGTTGCTGAGCTCATTGTTGCTCTGGCTGCTGGAGATTTTTCTCGTCGCTTGTTCATGTTCGTGCTATCAATTTTATGTTAAAATTTGCACTACAAAATTGGCAACAGCAAAAGTCGACGAAAAAGGAGAGGTTCAAAAATAGAACACTTGATGAAAAAAAGTTGTAGCTTAAATTAAGAAATCTTTTAACACATCAGATAAGTGAAGAAAACTGTTTTGGATTAATGGAAGTTGGGAGTAACATCCATAAAAGGAACATGAAAACGTTTCATGGCTATCTTTTTAGTCCAATTAGTAATCCTTAGGAAATATTAACTTTTTGATTTATCTAATGTTTGATTAAAAAGCCCTAGCCAGACCCCAAATTATAAACATAAATTTATATATTTACTCTGTGCTAGTTGTGAAAACAGGAACTCTTCTGGCCAAGACACTTTAACTAGTTTTAGTTGCCGCTTTGTAACGATCAAACCGATCGACCAAACTGGAGCTCTTCTAATCATTCCAAATATTTACCATTTTTGCACGCTAATTGATAAACATTTCATTCCAGCTCATTCGCTACACCTTGAAGTAGCTGAAAAATTGCTATTTTTCATTACGGACACGAGCATGTAAGCTAAAAGTAGCACTTGAAGTGGATCTCAAAACTGGAACCAGGAACTGAAGCCACTCCATCTTTTGACTGCAAGTAAAGAGGAGACTACAATGTTTGAAAATTGATGAGCAAATGGAATATGCAATTTGCATACATGAGCTGTTTCTTTAATTTAGGTAAATCTGAAATTATCCAGAAGTATTCCCCCATTTCGAAGTAGTGTTTGTATTTGTCCAGCGTTAACCTTTGGCCAACTCAATTAATTAGCCCACTCAGTGCTGTCTGAAAATCTCATTATTTATGCACATAATCTTGACACCTTTGGGAATGTTTTGAAAGCCATCTCCCCCAGTCCACCACATACGTCCGAAGACCATGTAATACCAGTTGAATATACTCGTGGAAATGCATATGCGCGCTACACTCGATAAGTATACGCAATGTGCGTTTGTCAATGCCGATTATGATTGTCGTCGCCCCGCGCAGAAAGTTTTCCGAGGAGTGGAAAACAGGGGGAAACCCATCGAGAAGCCTCCACATTATGGACAGGAAATGCTGGCCGGGCCACAAGTTAAAACACGCGCAAAAAATGCTGTCAGATTTTAAGAATTTCATCCAATTAAATTTCCTTAAGTTTCCATTGGTCGCAATATCAGAACGTGATGACTGTAAGTGAAAGATAAAGATGGGATTGAAACAGAAGCTTTATTTTATATATAATAAATTTATCTTAGGTGGCATGGCCTCTAAAAAATAATTGTGTTTATATTATATATAGCCGTAGAGCTAATATGTTTCTTATTATTGTTATTATAAGTAAATTTTTTTAAAGATATTTAATTTTTGTTAGATTTGTGTTATGAACAAACTTAAATACTTTATAGGATACGAATAAATAATATATATTAAATGGTTTTTTTTCCTGTGCAAACACATGCGAACCGAGCAACTTCCATCTGCAGAGTTCTCATCTTCTCTCTGCTGGCTGCAATAAAACTTTGCAGTTAATTAGTCAAAATGTTGCACAACCGGGCTGGCAACTTTGCCAAATGATTCTATTAGCCAGACGCACAAAGTTGAAGAAATCAAGAAGCACAACCTCCCAATGCATTTCAAAAGAATAAGAAAAAAAGAAGCCAAAAAAAGGCAAGAGCGATCCAGTAGAGTCGAAAACTCCATTTGCACGCAGTAAATTCCAGAACATATTGGCTTGATATCGGCTGACGGGCAGAGGCGGCGATCGATAAGCCACTGAAGCCACTGCCCAATAATTCAGCAATTTATGTCCGAGTCAGCCACAATTAACCATTGTTTATATGCCCGACCCGTTGCTGCTCCAATTGGCCAACTGTTGATGCTAACGGCCAACTGTTCGATGCACAAATTATAATTTGCCAACTTTGCACATTTTTAGCGGCAACTTTGTCGCCAGAATGCGGTGTGGAATTACCGCAGACAGCAATTGAATAAATCGCTAGCAAATTTTCAACAGGCATCTGCTGATTCTTAGCAAGATTTAGGGGTTCTTTGCTAAAGATTTTTAAGCTGAAGAATTTAATGGTCGTCTGTGGGGCTGGGTACATTTAGAGAACGTTTGATATAACAAAAAAATTTTTAATTCTATAAAATAATAATAATCGAATGAAATTCTAACTATGGTAGATAAGTAATTGGTTGTTGTAATTTTTGATGTGTTAGAAAAACAATTAAAATGATTTGTAGCTTAAAAGCCGCAAACCATATCTTTATCACAGCCCAACTTGGGTTAAAACTATTGGATAAAAAAATACAGGGTATTCTAATATGGTAAGAAATGCAGTCAAAATTGTCTTACGGAAATAATCAAAATTAAAGTAGGAATAATTTAGCCAGAAGGTAGTGTCACTTTTTTAGCAACGCCATTTATCGGATATTTAACTCTGCAATTAGTTTTGATCTTCCGCATATAAAATCACTCTGTTTTGCTGCTCAATATAAAACCTATCACACACCAATTCCATGGCTAATTGCCAAGTCCGTCAATCAACTGTTGTCCAAAAACCAAAAACCACTTGCAATCCAGTCCGGACGAGAAGAAACCATTTCAATCAAGCCGCAAGTTGAATTGAATTGAGATCTCAGCGGGAGTCGAGTGGAGCTCGAGCACCTGTTCAACCAATTGATAGCCAAGGGCGATCCACTGATCCACCATCGCACCACAATCCGCAATCCATCACACAAGCAACGCCCCCACATCGTGGAGAGCATAATTGATATGCATAATCATTATTCGGTTTTGTTGTCGCGTTTCAATTAAGGCATTAAGAAAATAACTCCAGCAATTGTCAATTGCTACACCAGAAAAAATATGTATTTATATATTTTTAATTCTAAGATAAAGTTCCATTTATTGTTTATATTTGTACAATTATATTATATGATTTTTCATTAAAGAATATAAAATATCTTAATGTGTGGCAGTTAATTGAATTGTGATTATAAAGTAAAAGTAAATTTATAAAGCAAAGAATATTTTAACAATGATTAAGATTTAAGATTTATAATTTTTTTTCTGTGTACAGAGAAATCAAAGCCAAATAGTCGTATCCACAAAGATTTATTAAGTTCACACATTCGAACAGCACTTGAGGCTGACAATTAAAAATCACTTTGGCCTTTCTTCTCGCTTCGCCCCCCCGCATCACGACTTTTATCCAACTTAACTTGGGGCTAGACTTAACTTGACTTGACTGCCGATTGCCATTTTGGTGGCTCTCCAAGTTTCTTGGGCAGCAGCAGCTGCACCACCAGCAATAAAAACAATAAAAACAGCAACGATGGGGGATCTAAGGCGCCAAATGCGATATGTATTTAATACGCCCGTGTGTACAACAATTTTCTGCCTTACTTTATGGACTTGAGCATGGACCACAAGAGGAGGATAATTAACTTTAAAGAAAATGATATACCCTTAACTTGAGAGTGCGTTTTCCATTTCCCGTTTAAATTTAAGTTTAACATTATTTACCATTTATCATTATAAAAACATAAAATAAATAAATAAATTTTTAAATATTATATATTTTCAACTTATATTTAGGATGTGCCTTAGCTTTTATGGTATCTTCCAGTTTGCCAATTTTTTTCAAAAAAATGTCTTGAATCTTATGTCTTGTCTTAATAGCGGTTCAATCATATTTCTTTTTTCCGATATATTTTGCCTTTGGTTTTTCTCTATAGTTACCACTGTCCACGGTCCAGAAGTCCGTTTGTTCCACTGTCTGTTGATGCTGATTGCTGATGGCTGGTTCGCCTGCACGCTTGTTTGTCCGCTTAATTGTGAGAAAATATATCAATGGCAGCCGGACAACAAAGGCAGATCAAATGAAACAAAACACACATAAGAGCCGAACAAAAAACAGAAACACCACAAAACAATGTCTAAGTACGCGGGCCTTTTGTCATTTGCATTTCGTTTCGTTTTGATCGATTCATTTACCCGTTTATCGGTGGGTGTCGCATGGGATTAAAAACTTGAAATAATCAATTGCGAATCGGCAATTGAGCTGGCAAACAAAAGGCGCAAAAAAAGAAACAAAAAAAAAACATAAAAACAAGTGGCAAAGTTCTTGACATTGTTCAAACGGTTAAAAGAAAGTTGATAACTGGCTGGAGGAGCACAGCAGCCAAGTCCGAGATTGCATCGATCCAGCACCAGGCTGCAAGCTCAAACTATAGTTTTAGCTCCCCTCCAATCCGATTTCCTCTGGCAATCGTCAGCTGCGGGCACAAAACATTTGGGGCCATCAAATGAAACGAGTGCAACAACAGCCACCACATCGCATTGGCAATGGCAATGGCAATGGCTATGGCATCGTGCTGCAAACAACACAAAATGTTGCACAAATTAAAATTGAACACAATAATCAGTGTGACATGTTGTTGCAGTCGTTGTCTATATCTGCAGGGTGTGTAGCAAAAGATTTCAAGGAGTGGAGTGCAGATGGGGCTAGCCGAAGATGTAGATACCGCGAAAAACAAAGTGTATTTTTCGCACACATTTTACCATGAACATACGTAAGGATTAAAAATGAATGCGAAATAAAAAAAATTTTAGCAGTCTGAAATATATTTCAAAATCCTTAAAAGCTTTAAATTTCAAAGTGTACGTTTTAATGAACAGATTTTACCAATAACTACAAGAATAATTTTTATAAAATGGGTTATAAAATGTTGTCATTCATCAAATATTATTATATTATTTTTTAAAGGAACTTAAGTCTTTCCAGCTTTGTTTAACTACAATGGAACCATTAAACACATATAAATTAATAAAACTATAATAATAATTCCACATCTGAAAATTTTGAATGTATTTTTATTTAAAATACCAATCTTTATTTAAAGAAAACCAAACTAGTCGACTCGTGACTAGACTTCTCTTCGGGAACTATTTTCCTCGGCCATTTGTTGTTGCCCGGCACTTGTCGCCTGTCGACTGGCGACTGTTTTCTGTTTTCTGTGTCCGTGTCTGTTTTGCTCACTTTGCTGTCTGTTCTGCTCGTGGTGCTTCCTTCTACCACCTCGCTTTCGACGCATGCGTAACGATCTTGGCCAAAAGACTCACTCGCCTTGCCATTTTTTTTCGACCGCATTGCTGCTGGCCAAGTGGCCGACCACAGCAAATGACTTTATTATAGGTTTTTAAATTTATAAACGCACATTTACCAATGCTAAACATCCTTTGCTGAAATCCCCAGACACGATCTCTCCGCACGTCTGCTAACTTGATCCATAAAATTAAATTATGTGAACTATTTTCCTGTTGAATCGCTTTATGGCCTTTGGTTTGGGTGGTGGCGATGTTATTTGCAATACTTTTTGGGGCTTGAATTGGCCACAGATGTTAGCCTGATTTGTTCAACTTGCCCACTTGTTGTTATGCATATGAACAGTAGATGAATGCTGAACTAAATACTTTACAATTCTATAAATTTATCTCGTTTTGAATGAATGTATAGCAATAATTTTATATGATCCACAATATACAACAATTTCTAATAAATTCAAAATTAAACATAGTGAATGTCGTCTTTATGGAACTTCTTGTAAATTCTCTAGGGAATCCAACTTTTGGAGAACTCAGTGAAAAGTTTAAATATGTTTTTACTGCCCACAGGAAGGTGCCCCCACGTATAAACCCAGACAACAAACCGACAACAAATTATGCTGATCTGTTTAAGACCAATAATGTTCTCTGGCCTGGTCCCGAAAATCCTTCATTCAAGCCAAGACAACAAAACGATGACAAAAAAGCATTTCTATTCCGATCGGTTTTTATCCTACGCATCCGACGAGAACTTTCAGGTGTGTGTGGGTTCCCCGATGCGATCTCTTTCTTATCCGGTACGATCGTTTAGTTGCTGATTTGTTGCCCCGATAAAGATGGGACTTTAAGCCTCCTTGGCATGCACATAATTTGTAGTTTTTGGTCAATGAAAAAATTTGACAAAGCTCAAACAATACAACAAAAACAGAAGACCAAAACTTGTCGAAAGTTCAGAAGTTCGATTGAGAAGTTTTTATTGCTTCTGAATTGGCCCGCCCAAGACGGTGGAGTTCATAATTCCTGAGCAGCTTGTTTTGTTCATCTTTATTACTGACTACTGTTGTTCGGGGCTTACCAA